GTTGACTTTTTTTCCTTTACTGTAGCAGAGAAATAAAAATAGTGAAAGATTATTTTTACTAGTTGAATCAGTTACAAGAAGCATAGATGAGCATCGTCAGGAAAAAAAAACATAGGCACAATTTCACCATCTTATTTAACATTAAGAAGTGATATTTTTTGCTACTAGTTATTTTAACAGGCATTATAATGTCACTTGGGTGTTTTGGAAGGAAGAATATAGGGAAAATGGAAGCGAAATTGGATCTGAGTAGATAGGGGTAAATTTAACGATTGTACGCTGCCCAATAAATGGCTTGGTTTGGGTGGGGTGAGACATTAAAAGAAAATGGAGATATCAAACTTGAACCTAACCAACTTTGAACCTGAACATTTTGATTTTAATAGAGGTGGAACAAAGATAAATATTTCATTAATATAATGAGGTTATGTGCCTCAGATTTAATCTCCATTTTAATTTTAATCAAGTTAAAGCAAGGCTTTTTTACTTCGCCAGTCAGAGGAAATCCTGTTCTTTCAGAGTTCTCAACCTCAAAACAACACATCTTCCCTATCTGCCTCCAAACAAGTGAGGACTTACACATTTACTTGACTGAAGACCTGTTAAACTATAATATCTAAAGTTCCAAAATAAACTGATGTATTTAATGTTCTGGGTATATAGATAAACTACCTCTCGAATGTGAGTATTTCTCTTAACTCTATGTAAATTATTTGTATTTCTGTGTTTTGTTCAATTCTAATCTCCATTTAAAAATGAAGTGCAACTGCGGGTCCATATATGGAATTATTTTGAAATCCATTGAGCATTGAGTGTGAACATTGGCAAGTCATCTTGCAGCTGTATAAGACTTGAGCCAGGCCACATTTGGAGTCTGAGATAACAAGGTGTAGAGCTGGATGAACACAGCAGGCCAAGCAGCATCAGAGGAGCAGAAAGGCTGACCATTCAGGCCTAGACCCTTCTTCAGAGATTTGGAGCCTTGTGTGCAGTTCTGATTGCCACACCTTAGAAAGGACGTGGAGGCTTTGGAGAAGGTGCCAAAGAGGTTCATCAGGATGCTGCCTGGACTGGAGTGTATTAGCCATAAGGAGAGGTTGGATAAACTTGTATTGTTCTCGCTAGAGAGTTGGAGGCTGAGGGACGGCCTGATAGAAGTATATAAAATTAGGAGAGGCATGGATAGCTGGAGTCTTTTTCCCAGGTGGAAATATCAAATACTAGGGGCATAGGTTTAAAGTGAGCAGGGGAAATTTAAAGGAGCTGTGCAAGGCAAGTTTTTTGCACAGAGAGTAGGTAGTGCCAGAGAAGGTGGTAGAAATAGATATGATAGTGTTTAAGAGGCATTTAGATGGACACGTGAATAAGTGGGGAATAGTGGGGTGTGAACTATATGCAGGCAGATGGGATTAACTTAGAATGGCAACATGGTTGTCACTGTTCTACGTATGTTCATGCATTTTCTGTAAACATCTTGCCCTAAAAATTTTGTTTTTCCCAGTGCTGTTAAATTGTAGTTAATGGTCAACCGATAAATCTGAGGGAGCAATACATGGATAAACAACAAGTGCCAAATAGCTGACAAATGAATAATATAACTGACCTGACAAAGGAATGCAATTTAGTTCACTTCTAAGTCCTGCAATGGCTTCAGTAAAATTTGCTGTGAAATATGACAGGCTAGTAAGTTTGATTTCTGCTCTAATATTTTTTACACTGTTTTCTGACTTTTGGTCAATATAGCATTATTTGAGAAATTGATATTCATTTCTTACTAAAAAAAAATTAATTTGCCACTTAAAATGTGAATAGTCTCAACCAGCAAGGCAGAATAGATGAACATTCATCTAAGTTCCAACAATCAGCAACATTTTAACTGTTCCAAGTGGCATTGAACCAGTGAAGCAGTTCATAATCTGCAGCATTGTAGAAATGTACAGTTCCATGTAAACCTATATTTAACCACATATTTATATTGATTTAACAATATGTGAAGACCAGAGAACAAATTGTATGTGGTGCATGAATATCCGTCGGTTGTGACTTTGCCGAATTTGTTATCGTGTGAACCTACTTGTGGCTAACAAATCTTATACTTTGTCTCTTCTTGCATTCTCGGTATATAAAGAAAGTACATTTTTCAAAACAAACTGCTTAGGTTGTAGCTACACAGCAACTTGCATTTCTCTTGGAAAATTTACCACTTTAAAAAAGACAAGACATTTCACAAGAGCTTTATCAAGTAGAAACATTGTATCACTTCAAGCCGCAAGCCAATTGGTTATTTGATATTTAGAATATTTCAACATCTGGACCACAAAAAGGGACATTAGAACAACTGACCCCAGCAGTTTTAAACAGTACCTAAAAGAAGGAAAAAGAGGTATAGCAATTTGGGGAAAGAATTCCAGGACCTAGGTAGCTGAAAGCCTAACTGGCAATGGTGGAGCAAATTTAAAACCAGGGATATGCAAGATGCCAGAATTGGACAACTGCCAATTTCTCAGAGGCTTGTACATTAGGAAGCGGTTGCAGAGTTTCAGGGGGTGAAATTATCAGAGGTATTTGAAAAGAAGGATGAGAGTTTTAAAATCGTGATGATTAATTGGAAGCCTGCATACATCAGTGAATGCAATGTGATGGATGAGCAGACTGTATAAGTTAAGATATTGGCAGCAGAAATTTAGATGAGCTTATGTATATGGATAGAGGAATATGACTTTGAAATCATGCCGATTCTACCCAAAATAAATAGGAATCCCATGTCAGTGTTGCTGGTATATTAATATTAAGAAGAAATAAAATTTCTACTATATGAAACAAGTTAATAAAATAAATTGTCCAGAGATTGAATATTTCATGAGGGCCCTGGAGGACTTCGCCAAGGATTCTCTGTTCCTCACTTGGGGCAATCTGTCCATTAGCTTTTTAGCCAAAGAACAAAAATGTCATAGTAGAGATGTTTTGAATATATGACAATGTTGCATTTTTTAACATTTAAAAATTCATGACCCTGCAGTTCTTATGTCCTAATACTAGAAATGCCTAATGTGAAATTGTGCCATTCAACATAAGAACTTGGAAAATTGCATTCTGCAGATCATGAGTTAATTGCTCCCAAGCAAGGTCTAAGCAGGTTGTGGCAATTACCTTGAATGCCTGTCAGGCAAAGAAAGTAAGGATGGAGCAATTTGTATTTTCTGATCTTGATTGCTAGCCATGCCTTTTACTAGAAAGTGCACATTTGTAGATATTGGATGAGAACAGGGTCAGGATTTAATAAGATGATCCCATTGGTCAAACAGCATGGAAATATTCGTTGTGCGTTCCCATTCTTAAAAAAATTGACAGTAACATTAAATCATCTTTCTTTCCTTGATGGCAGCAATACACCTGTTACAGAAGTCATTTAATTAGGAAACCACAAACATTGTGTTTCACATTATCTCTCACAGCAGCCCTGTTGTTGATTACAAAATGGATCTACCAAATCACATTTTAAATAATGAGATGTTTTAAAACCTCTATCAAATGTTTTCAGGTGTGAACTTGGCATATTTTGATGATCTGTGTTATTATAACAACAACTGAAATTTGCCTTGACTTGTATTGCATCCTTTGAATTATGTATTTTTGCTATTGAGCAAAATATAGTATTTCACCCTTCTGAAAATGGTAAGAGCATTTCTGTGACTGTAATAAATCATGATCATATTTTGTTTAATTTAATAACTACTTTAATGGTTTACAAAATGGAATTGGATAGGCTGCTGCAGAGAAAACAATGCAGGGCTACAGCAAAGGGACTGGGAAGTAAGTCTGGCTAAATTATTTTTGTGAAGCGCCATGGGTTTGACAAGACAAATGTAACCCTCTTTTTGTGATATATTCATTCTGTGATTATTTGGCAAAAAGAAACTGCAGCTCCAGGTTGAGCAATCCCTTTTTTGCTGTGTCAGAGACTGTGTATTTGTTAGTCATTATGGATCAATACTTTTTAATTTGAATGTTCAGAACAAGCTTAACCAAAAATAGGTCAAAAATATGAAAACTGTTATATTGCTGGAAAGAGAATATGTCGCTGAAACTTCTTTTATTTACAGTCATCAGGGCAGACACCAGAATGTTCAAACAATCTCAACAATTTATGCTACAGAAGAAAGGGATGCTAACTGGTTGGCACTGACTCTAAAGAATACATTGTCATGGTGAAAACATCAGGAAATTATAGGGTCTCCCAACCCCTCTAGTAGTTCAAAAAATGTGTGAGGCATGAACATATTCCTTTGTTTACAGAGCAGAGGTTACCTGTGTATGAATGTATATCATTTCTAAAAAGATTAAATAACTTGTGTTATGTGCTTGACTAGTTAAGTTAAATTGATTGTTAGTGTAACTACCAGCACACTCAAACTGTTGAGCAAGTGTTGCGAATTATGGAATTACACCTAACAGTAGATTATCTGGCTCGTGTTTTGCAAGCATGATCCTAACTGAAAGCTAAATTCTCCCAGCTGTTGCACCCCAGCTTCTGTGCAGAAAGAGGAAATTTAGAGTTTTAACTTTAATTTGTTTTAAAAATAACCTTGTTTAATAAAGAAATGCATGACTATATGAAACAAATAGCACCTAATGTTCGTAAGTATTCACTCTGTTTTATAACCCTATTCCTGATGTTCAAAAATTTATGTATGTTGTTCTCCTACCAGTAAAATTTACATAACTGAATATATCTATGAGCAGATTGAGAAGTTAGCATAAGCACAGATGCAAGTACTCAGTGACTTCATTCTGTGTTGTCATTTCGATGATCAGATGCTGACAAAACTTTTGTGAAAGTAATATTTTTTGTGAAAATAGCCGTAAGTTGATTTATGTGGACGACCAGTAGTCGTGATCAATATGTTAGCTGAAGAAACTTGATTTTGAGTCAAGGAAATCTCTCACTTGCTACTTTGAGTTTTTCTTTGATTTATCAAAGGAATTTCTTTTGTTTAAAGGTTCCGTAGATGAAATGGAGGAAGGCGAGGAGAATCTAACTGATGACAACAATATGTCTGAAAGAGAAGCAGCAGCTTCAGTCCACGATGAATCAGCAGACTGTGATACATCAAGTCCTTTTTATAGTGAAGGTAATTTGATGCTACTGTTATCAATTTCATCTTTTTTTTAACAGTTTAGACTTTGGATCGTAGAGGTTCCAGCTTAATGACCTAAATACTGCCATATTTTATGATCCTACACTAATATGTAGTATAATGGTTTACAAATGTAAACCAATGCATTTTTCAACTCCTGTCCCCTTTGCTGGAGATTCATCTCTTCAACCTCTCTGGTCTCGTGCACAATATGCCTACAACTGTCTTTTTTCTTTCCACATTTCCTTCCAGAATGTCTATTTATTATGAATGTCTTTGGCTTTTTTAAACCAAATAAAATTTTGAATGCTATGTATGAATTAAGTGTACTTGTTTGCAGTGTATAATATGTTTTGTTTGTGTTAGGAAGCAATAAATAGAAAACAAATGGAACGCAAGCTAATAAATATTAGTGACACAAACACGTTAATAGTACAATATGTTGACACAGATGAAACTTGACTATCTACGTTTAATGGTGGCAGATAGCTGACAAAAGGTAGCTGTGTTTTCTCTTGCTAGCCAATGTTTCTTGTTCGTTGTACATTTTCACATTGATTTTGTATGCTTGATTTTGTAGATTTATCAAACTGTGACTGTGAAACATCAAACGTTTTTGGATTGCCAGTGAAATAATTTGATGTTTTGAACATAAATTGTTCAGGGAAATGTAAATCCATCTGATATTCCATGTTCACAGCAAAAATTGGAAGTTTCTAAACTGAAATTGAATTACTAGCATTTGCTGTTTCCATCTCCAAATCACTGTAACTCCTTGTGGAGTATCTAGAGTCATAGAGACATGCAGCATAGAAACAGGCCCTTCAGTCTACAATGTCTATACCAACCAAGAACTACCAAACCACACTAGTCCCATTTACTTGCATTTGGTCCATAGCCTAAATGCCGTGGCATTTTAAGTACTCACCCAGATGCTGCTTAAATGTTATGAGAGTACCTGCCTCCACCACCCTCTCAGGCAGCATGTTCCACACTTCTACCACCCACTGAAATTTTTTTTTTCTCCGATCTCCTGTAAACCACTTACTCCTCGCCTTTAACTTGTAGCCTCTGGTCTTGGCCTACCATGTGGAAAAAATTCCCGCGATCTACCCTGTCTAGGCCCACAATTTTGTGTACCTTAATCAGATTCCCTCTTAGCCTTCTCTGCTCCAAGGAAAACAAACCCAACCTATCATGTCTGTCCTCATAACTGAGACTTTTCATCGCAGGTAACATCCTGATGAATCTCCTCTGCATTCTCTCCAGCGTAATCATATCCTTCCAATACTGAAGAAGTTTTAAACAAAAAGGATATTAAAATTTCTAAACCATTATTAAGCTACCAATCACTATAAGGGCTGCTTTAACATATTTCAAACAGAATTTTAAAACCGTAATGTTTATAAGGAGCAAAAACAGAAATTGCTGACAAAACTTAGCAGGTCTGGTAGCATTTGTGGGAAGAAAGCAGAGTTAATGTTTCGGGTCCAGTGACTCTTCTTCAGGAGTTCTGATGAAGAGTCAGTCAGTGGATGCAAAACGTTTACTGTTTTCTCTCCACAGATGTTGCCAGTCCTGAATTTCACTAGCAATTTCTGCCTTTGTTTCAGATCTCCTGCACACACAGTTCTTTGTTTTATTTTAGTGTTTATGAGGAGCATATCTGAACATTAAATTTGTGTGGAAAAGATTTTAGTCTAATAAATTCGTGAATGCCTGGTGTCACATGAACATTACGGTAACTCCATGATATAGTTGTTGTTCGGTGATGATGAACATTTTGACAAGTTGTAGATTTGCAAAAGGCAAGTTATGTCTGACAATTGGTAGTTACTTATAAAAATTGTGTTGATGTTGAATATGTTATTTAGCTGAGGAAACCTGTTCTCACTTGCTCTGACCTTGATATATCCTTGCATTGTGGAATTAAAGATTGAATGCTAACTGCCCTTAACATAACCTGGCAGCCCAATCAATAGTTTCAAGCCACTGTATTAAAAAAAGGAAAATTTAAATAGGACATACTGTGCCTTGGGCATCAAATTCAAATATAAGTATCACCCAGATGACTCTGCAAAACCACCCTCACCAAAATTTGTAGAATGGTAGTGAAATTGGGAGAGGTGTATAAAAGGGATGTGGAGTGACAGACTGCCATAATTATGCTCTCAAAATTATCTCTTTCTCAAATTCCTTGACTCTTTGTTCCTGAGGGGAACAGTACCATATCTATTTGAATTCCTCAGCATTGACTTTGCACCACACAAAGTCACTAGCTTCAGGTCAAACATTGACAAAGCAGCTTCTAACTTATTACCATCCACTTTCCTCCTCTCCCTCAACTGTTAAATAAGTTATGTTACATGTTAAACATCACATGGAGAAAGCATTGACTATAACAAGAGCACATATAGTTTTGAGTGGGGCCTCTGCAATGCCCAGGGTGAAGAGTAACTTGGGCGTGCTACTACAGACCGAGCTGACTTGAATTCTGAGGGACATTAACAACCAATTGGAACTTGTGCCAGTGGTGAGAGCCAGCATGAAGGAATAGTCTACTTAACCACATCCTCACCAGTGTATCTATCAAACAGCTTTTCGCCAAATTTAAACTCTTGAATTAAAGGGCAGTAGCTGTGTAAATACAAAATTGGATGAGAGATAAAAGCAGAGTGTTATGTTGGATGATCACTTTTTTCAGAAGGGGAGCAGACCATAGTGTGCAGTGATATTTCCAAATGGGTTGCTGTTCGGACGACTCTGTCTTGAATACATTAATGGCATGGCCAAGACCTGGTTGTACAGAATATAATTTAAAGTTTGCAGGTGACATGAAACTAGGAAAAGTAACAAATGGTAGGCAGGATGCTAATATACTGATGAACTGGGTAGACTCATGGCAGATAAACTTTAATGCAAGTGAGTGCAAATGACTTCATATTGCGAGGAAATGTGAAGCACTGCAGTATTGACTCAACAATGCAGTTTTAACAGGGAACCAAGAACTGAGAGGCTTGGTGATGTATGTACACAAATCTTTGAAGATAGCAATTGAGAAAGCTGCTTAAAAAGGCAAGAGTACATAGTTCATAAATAGAGGCACAGAGTTCATAGGAAGAGATATTCAAAACTAAGATTTTTGACAGAGTGAAATGATGGTTGAAAGACATAGTCCATTGTGCATAGAAGGAGGCCATTTGCCTGATCTCCTGCTGGCTCGCTTTAGAGACATGGGACATGGCTGGGCTAGCATTTATTGCCCTTGAGAAGGTGGTGGTGAGCTGCCTTGAACCACTGCAGTCCATGCAGGTCGACCTACAATACTATTAAGGAGGGAATTTCAGGATTTTGACCTGGTGTCACTGGAGGTACAATGATATATTTCCAAGTCAGGATGGTGAATGACTTGGACAGCTTGTAGGTGGTAGTATTCCCATGTATCTGCTCCCTTTGTCTTTCTCGATGATAGTGGTTATGGGTTTGGAAGGGCCTGCCTAGAATCTTTGAATTTTTGCAGTGCATTTTGTAGATAGTACACACTGCTGCTACTGAGCATTGGTGGTGGAGGGAGTGGATGTTAATCAATGTGCTAAGGAGGCTGCTTTGTTCTGGACGGTGTCAAACCTCTTGCCTGTTGTTGGAGCTGCATTCATCCAGATAATTGAGGACTATTCCGTCACACTCTTGACATGAGCCTTCTAGGTGATTGACAGGCTTTGGGGAGTCCGGAGATGAGTTAGTCACGCAGGATTCCTAGCGTTTGAGCTCCCCACAACCGAGGGCTCAAAGTATCACTACCTAAATGCCAGACAACTGGATTCAAGTCTCATTGTTTCCAGAGGTGTCGTGGATTGGCTGAACAGGCTGATTTTTAAAACAAGATCTGGAAACAGGATTGGAAGCTGTGTAAAGTTAAGATGGATTGCAAGAAAGAGCTCAATCAGTACCGTTCCTGTACTCTGTACCCTGTAATCTGTAAATGTATTTTCCTCATGTGCTCACCTGGCCTTCTTTTGAAATTCTTAATTGTCTCTGATTCCACCACCCACAAATCTGATTGTCACCAAAAGAAAATGGGGAAGTTAGAATTATTTTTACACTGCAGGGTCATTTAATATATGGATTGTCTTTCAAGGAATAGTGATTGATGCAGCATCTATAATTACTTTTTGAAGGCAACTCTATAAATATTTAGTTGGTGAGATAGTTGACATTGAAGAGTGGAAAAAGATCCATTCTCCTGCCTAAAGACGTTAGTTTTTAGGGAGTCGGCAAATATGTGGGAGTATTTCATAACCTAAATCAAGTTTGTATGAGTTCCAGTGAATTGTTTTTAAAAGTACTTTTAAAGTGCCTTGGGAAAAATTACAGGTGTTAATCTCAAGGCAAAACCAGATATTGGTGCCATTAGTGGAAGTCTAACTGATATCACTGATACATTTCAAACAGCATAATATTGGTGAAATTGCTGTAAGTGGATCAATTTCTCCCTCTCAAGTCATATTGCCTCTTTATACCTCTAATTCATAATGTTTTTATCAGAACTCCTGTCATAAGAAATATAAATTTCTCCATTGTTATGTGCATTGAACAAATGATAATTGCTTGATAGTCTTGATAAGAGGCTGTTTTCTGAAAGAAAAGTTACTTGTTCACTTTAATATGTACTCCTTGCATTAGCTCTGAAAAATTGTTATATGTGGATTTCCAAGTGCGACATTGAGCATTTTCACCCAGATGTCCAGATTGTTATTAATGCTTTGACAATTTAAGACTCCTAACCTTTATGTGGGAATTGGTCGGTAGGAGGTTTGGTTGAAATGGCACTTAATTGCCTTGGAACCTATATTGGATAGATTTCAGACTTGAAATTATGAGGATATATGTAACTACTTGTAAAATCACAGAATCTTGACATTTTGCTTCAAATGGTTAAAAATACATCTATTATTCAACCTTGCAATCAGATCTGCTTTATAGACCTAATTAAG